TGAAAAGTATACAGCTCCCTTTCACATGAGTGTTGAGAGCTGTATCCATAAATTCATTTTTGTGCTCAAAGTGCACCAGATTGATGCGTTTAAGTTCAACATTTAAAAAAAAAATCTTCCCGGGGCTGCATGCCCCCGGACCCCCCTAGAGAAGGTTAGGTCCACCCCCGAATAAAGCAGGTTCAAATAATTAAATTGCATACATTTTCTTTTAGTAAATGGTAAAAAACGGGTCCCACAGACCCAAACAGCAAACAAAGGTAAGCGTATAATAATGTGTAATGAAACAAATACCAATAACTGTATTGCATTGTTTTCTTATGTGTATGCGCAATTACTTCATACTGTCTTTGTCTTTTTCGTCATGCATTTATTGTGCCCCCCTCAGAAAATAACTGGCCCCAGCCTGGCCCCCCCAGTCAAATTGGTCTAGAACCGCCACTGTGTCTTACCTATGTTGCATTCACTGAACACGGGAAATTACAGTCCTGCCGTCCTCTCTAGTGTCATGATGAGGTTCACGTAAAGCACGGTTAATGTATTATATTATTGAGGTAGAATTGTCCGGGGCTACAGAAAAAACATTCGGGGCAGGCCAGGCGATGCCACTGGCGAGCACGCACACTACAAAGATGTAAAATATTATTTTACCAACAATGTGGAATTTATTGGTCACATATTACACAGATTATGCACAGCGGGAGCAGCAATAACCGTCAAATAATAATTCAGACAGGGGAGCTCCGCACCGCCTGCCTGCTGCTAGGGAGTGCTGCAGCGCCCTCAGCACCCCCCTTCCCTCGCCCATGCACTAGAGGGATTCCCGCCCAGGTTTATATTTGCGTAACATTTGCGCGACTTGTCCACATGCAACCAGGAGCACATGCCTCCCTACAGGCCGATCACGCAGACTGCGTGGGGCCTCACCTCGCGGAGGGGTCCTCACCTCACCTCGCGGAGGGGGCCTCATCTTGCGGAGGGTTCTTCATTTTGCGGAGGGAGCCTCATCTGAAGCGCAAATGCGGCGCACCTACATTCTAAGCTCGCCACAGTTTTGCCGCTGCGAGGCTCCACTAGCACTCCCCGCAACCCCGTCGATGCTCGCGGCACAGAGGGCCTCATCATATAACTTTGCGTGGGGCCACAAGTTGGCTAAGGGCGGCCCTGCATGCAACTGTCACAGGGGTTGTGCTGCAGTGCAGAGATATGGCGGAGTCATCAACAGCTATAACTTTCGAGGTAGGTGGAGGTATGCCTATTATTTAAATTTGTCAGAAGAAAGGACAGGAATGTGACGGTCAGGTGCACTGCTGCAAACACAACAACATCAAACCTCTCCAAGCACCTGCTAAGGCAACTTGCTAGCACGGAGCTACAGGAGTTCCCGTAGCTCTGACTGGAGCGCAAAACACTGTTCCCGGGATGACAGGAGTGTTTTCTGTATCCCATTGAACTGTGGGGGGGAGAGGCGAACTGCAGGGTGTACCCTCTGCTGATCAGCCTGCTCATCCATCTGTACATCAGACAAACGCGCTGCCACTCTGAGAAACACTCTGAGAGCGGGCGCACATGCTCGAGATGTTCTGTGGTCGTCATGGCAACGAGCCACGCCAGGGGGGGCCTAGAGCGAAAGGGCTGTGAGGAGGCCTCCACACGCTGCGTTTCACACTGACTCTCATCATGAGGCGCGTACACGCTCAGGGGATGAGTGGAGGTGTGTGCAGTGACGTCCACATGAGGTGTTACAACGGCGCTCATGGGCTTATTGTGACCGTGTGTAGGTGGCGTATCTCGGACAGAGGAATGCCGCGAGCTCTGAGGTTTAATAACCGAAACGTTAAAACCAGCAGGCCTCTGCAGCGAGCCCTGCTGCCTACTAAACAACAGATTGGAGGCAGCTGGCTTAGTTACCAAGCTCTGCAGTTTATTAACCGATAGATTAAAAACTGCAGGCTTTTGTAACGAACCCTGCTGGCTATTAACCGATAGGATGGCAATAAAGCCATATAACGAAATAGAACTTGACCCTTCAAATATAACATTTAATAGCAGGTCAAAATATTTAAGTTAATACAACTGTAAGATAATCAATAATAAAATAATAAAATAATCACCAAGTAGATGATAAAGTTGTAACATTATTCCCTCGTGAAATAAACATGTAACAATGTTAAAGAATTGAATTCAACAAAAAAAAACTGAATAGTGTGAAAAACAAAAGTACCAAAAGGTTCAAATATGTTTATCTGTAATAGACCCAACCTGTTAAACCCAAGGTCGAGTAAATGTTCTATACCAGATTCAACAGAAAATAATCGCAGCTAACACTGAACGACTCAGTAAACCATTTTACCAAAACAAAACACAAGTCTCATAAGAAGCAATCCTAAATGACCCCTTAGCGAAAAAGGCTACGGACATTGCACAGAACTCAAGATAAAAAGACCCTATACATATCGTACTTGCACACACAGATCTCTGATTAAAGCAGAAGGTTCCAGCAGATAGTTAAAGGTGATATATACATACTGAGTATCTGAAGTTGCGACAGGGAAGCAAAGACAGACATCACAACACGTACCTTTACGTAGCTATCAGGACATCGTCTCACCGTAGCATGTTAATCTGATCAAAAGACGTGGTCAATGGCATAAAACGAGAAAAAAAGGCGGCTGAATCGGTTAATCCAATAGGTTTGATAAAGTTCTGGGCAATAATTGGAATATTTATAATCAATAATCCATGTTTTATGTAAAAATCGCAGAGCAAAAGTAGCTGCTAATGGGAGCCACCAGAATGACTGCTGCTCCGGTCTTGGCTATGCGCAGTAATAATACACACACATGACAAAAAAGGACATGTGGGAGTCCCTCGATCCATTGGCCTGACGTTAGAAAGAGAGCACAATGCAAAAATCCAGCAGGGGGCAAGAGAGATGAAAAATTCCACCCAATAGGCCTAGAAGAGGTTTTTTTGCTAAATCTGTCCAAATGTCAAAATATCACTTGTTTTTGCCATCAACTTGGATACAGGGTACTTATATGTTGTACTTGGATCTAAGCGTTTAGTCTACTAACCCATGACAAGGTAGTTTTGCACTATAAGTACAAAATATGTTTTGGGCGGACACTATCATGTACAGTTTTGACCATTCTCAAATCGGAATTTGTTTAAATAAAAAAACATCATATGAAGCTGACCTTCTCATCCAACGACAGGTTATTATACTTTTGAGAACAAATACTTTAATTTAACCCTTTAGAAGGGAAGATAGTCATTTGTCTGGAAGCATTTTCGAGCCGGAAACCTGAAAAACAGGCTCGGGTTTAAACAGGTTAAGGCTAAGAATATGGACCCCAAAGCAAAAGACTAAGAGAGAAGATGGTCAAAAACAAAAAGCTTATTAAAGCAGAGGAACATAAAAACGGTAAGTGAGGCAGGAAGCGGCGGGCACGGAGACTCAGAGACAGGAGGCAAAAAATCCAAGCAACAGATCATGAGACGAGGAAGAGCAGCGAGACACACCAGGAGGGCGAACACAAAGGAATGATGCTGGCCAGGGAAATGGCATGAGGACCGGGCTGTATACCACAAGTGGAGAGGTAGTTGAACAGGTTCTCGCGCTACTGGAAGGAGCCAGCCAACCCCTGTCCACACACCAAGCCCTGCAGAGAAAAAAGAGAAGGAGTGGGGAGACAGAAAAACACAAAAAGAGCACACAACAAAACAAAACTAAACAGAATCATAACACCAATGATCAATATATTATACACTACATTGGCTGTGCAGATTTAACCAGCTACCATAAAGACCTCAACTACACCTGAATACACTTAACTATAAGTTTAATGACAGTTCTCCATATTGTGAAGACGTAACCTCTGTCTTGTGCATTTATAACGG